TCCTGTATCTGAGCACACAGTGAAGAGCAGTCTGCTTTGGTCTGTTCAGGCCGCTGTTAGAAATGACCATAGTCTTGGTGGCTTATAGACAATCAGAGAGGCCCAGTCTGAAAAGGTAATACGTAAAGAGCTGGATGTGGTAGACACGCCTGTCTTCCTAGCTAGGAGGCGGAGGAAGAGGAATTGTGATGAACAGGGACTAGCAGGTGGTGTATGTCACTGGACTCCCATGTAGTCGACCATGGTTTGAGCCTCAGACCTGGCAACTTAAAACTCAGCCAGATGCATGTGTGTGTATACCCAGAATCCCGAGAATGAAGGAGAAGGAATTGTGGTATGGCCATGCCCCTGGGAGGTGATTTCTCGCTTTCTCTCTATCTCTTCACCAAGGCACACACCCTATAGCAAAAATCTCTTTAAAAACAAAGATAGTTGATAGATTTCATGAGATTCCTCATATTCTGCATGTTGTAGATCCTTTATCGGTATTTGTAGAGTTACTCCATGTGTGCACATACAGGAACAGGTTGACCCATAGGCCACCCTGGCCATCTGGTTTCCTTCCACATGGGGGTTGTACTCTGCTCTGCCGCCCTGAACAGCTGCTTGCTTTCTTTCTGGTGAACACACTTTGGTATTTCTCTTCGGTGTACGCCTAGGGGTGGGTCTGCTGGGCCACAGAACGTGTGTTCTGTTCAGGTGTCGTTGTTACTGCCTAACTGCTCTTCCGGAAGAGTTTGCGTGAGTTTACGTGGCTACGAGCAGCTCCTCTGTGTCTCTGCCCTAGTTCTCTATCATTTATTTATTAAGTTTTTAAAATATCTTATATTTCAACTCTGGAAAAATACACACTTTTTTTTTACATTCAATCACTGTGTGTCATTACAGTTTGCTTGGAATATATTCTATCCATATTTTCTTTTTTAATTTAAAAATGTATCTATTTTATTTATTTTGCATTCAATTTAATATATATCATTATAACATACCATTTTCATGTCCAACATTTTTCTCTTTGGAGCTAAAGTGAGTCTTTTGTAGGCAACATGGAATTGAATTGTGTTTCTCTGTCCATTCTTCCAATCTCTGTCCCCTGAGTAGAGAGTTTCATTTTTTTTGGGGGGGGGAGAGGTTTTCGCTATAGGGCTTGTGCGCTCGCCAGACAGACAGAGAGAGACAGAGAGACAGAAAGCGAGAAATCACCCCCCAGGGGGGATGGTCACACCACAATCCCTTCTCCTCCATTCTCCTCTCGGGATCTTGGGCACGCACGCACACGCGCCCGGCGTGAGTTTTTTAAGCCACTGGGTTTTTTAACCACTGCTGGTTCCCGAGAGTTTCATTTTTTTACATTTAAAATAACCACCAGCAAGAAAGAACCTACTTCTCTCATTTTTCTATTTATTTTCTACGTGCTTGACAGCTCCTTTGTCCCTCATTTTGCACTTCTGTGTTCTTTTATGTTTAGTTATACTTTCATGGTGAGGTGTGTGAACTTCTTTCTCATTTCCTTTTCTGTCTTTTTAATAGCTATTTTCTCTGTGGTTACTCTAGGCATTATAGTTAACACTCTAATGACATACAACTCTGATGTGAATTTATACCAGTTTATACCTATAAAAACTTGGCTCCTAGACAGCTAAGGCCCCGCCCCCTTTCAGTCACTGATGTCACCAAATTACATCTGCACGCATTATGTGCTCAAAGCATTAGCTAATAATTGATTTTTTTTCTTTCTTTTTTTTTTTTGAGAGGTTTTTGCTATAGGGTGCGTGCGCTCGCCAGACAGAGAGAGAGAGAGACAGAGAGACAGAAAGCGAGAAATCACCCCCCAGGGGGGATGGCCACGCCACAATCCCTTCTCCTCCATTCTCCTCTCAGGATCTTGGGCACACACACACACACACACATGCCCAGTGTGAGTTTTAAGCCACCGGGTCCAGGACACAAACCGCGTTCGACTACGTGGGAGTCCAGCGACATAGCCATTACACTAACTGCTGGTCCCATAATTGTGTTTTTAATACATTAGCCTCTTAAATCATGTTCAAAATAAAAACTAGTACTAGCTTGTGCAACTGTTCATTATTTGACATTACCCAAGATCTTGATTTCTTCATACAGCTTTAGTTCCTGTCCCATGACCTTCCTTTCCAAACTGAAGGACTCCCATCACGTAGGGCGGCTCCAGTGGTAACAAACACACTCAACTTCTGTATCTGGGAATGACTTAATTTCTCCCTCATTTTCAAAGAGTTTTGGTGGATAGATGTTTTTTATTTGTCAATGTGCTTTAAAACTTGATGTTTTACTTGCTATGCTCATAAGCTATGAACATAGCACAGGTTTAAGTATTAGTCTGCTTGGGCTGCTATATCAAAATACCACAAAGTAAGGGTAGAAATTTAAGTGGAAATTAGGTTTCTCACAGTTCTGGAGAACAGAAGCCCAAGAGGAAGGTGTCAGCAGGTTTGGTTTCTCATGATGTCTCTCCTTGGCAGATGGCCACCTTCTCATGGTATTCTTCCATGCCCTTTCATCTGTACATGCCTATCCAGGTGTCTCTCCTCTTTTGAGATGGACACTAGCCATGTGTCATGTCAAGTTAGGATCCCTCCCATTGAACTACATTTCAACTTCATTACCCCTTGATCCAAAACAGCTTGACTACAGGATAGGGCTTCAGCATATGAATTTGGGCACTGAGGAGCACAGTATAGTTCATAACATTTTGCCCTCTGCTGTCCCCAAATTCAAGTCCTTCTGTTGCGGAAAACCAGACGGCCTCTGAGTTCCGGACCCAGCCACATCACTTCTTACATAGAAAATACGCTCAGCCCATCCCAACAGGCACAACTGTCTTAACCCATTAAAGCGACAATCCTCAGACCAAAGTTTCATCGAAACATCAAAATCAGGTGTATGCAGTGGGGATACAGGCATAGGATAGATATTTTCAATCCCAAAGGAGGAAAATCAGATGGAAAAAAAATGGTGACATATCCCAAGCAAGTCCAGACTCTAGTAAGGCAAGTTCCACTTGATCTTACCAACAGAAGAACTCTAATTGGCTGGATGCTCTGCCCTCCAAATCAATGAGGGAGGCTCTTTCTGATGATCCTATGCCAGAGATCTGAGGAGGGAGCACCACCCTCTGGAACTAAGGATGAAAGAGCCATGCCCCTGAACCCATGTTGAGAAAGAAAGCTTTGATGATCACCAAACTATTTTTAGGGTTTTCTTCCCTTTTATTGAACAATAAAGCATGTTCACCACCAAGAAACTCTTGGGTTCTGTTCTGTAGAATCCCAGTAGAAAATCCTTTTTTCATTTCATCATGGATCTGTTCCCTTTGGTCCACTCTAACAGTATCTGTGCTCGCACAATCCCATCTCATTTCCTGGCTTCGGCTGAAACGGATGCTTACCTGTACAGACAATCTCCTTACAGTGAGTGTCCATTCTCATCCTGGGAATTCACTTGAGAACACACTTTCTCCTTTTTGCCGTATGAATAGAATGAGGAATGTTCAAATATGAAGCTACGGTTCCTTTTGGCTTACCACTTCCTTCCATTTATTTCTCTCTTACATTTTCCTGTAAACACTGAAAAGAAGCCAAGTCACTTGTTTAGCACTTCACTTAGAACTATCCTCAGTGGAATACATAATTTCATTGTTTCCCAGTTCTACCTTCCAGAAAAATATGACAGCGAGGTTCAGCCACTGCTGTCATTTCTAGCCGCTTGATAACAAAGACCCCCTTTCCTCCAGCTTCCAATAGCATTTTCCTCTAGCAATTTAGGACATGTTCATAATCACCATTAACATACATATATCTCAAATATTCTTTATGGGCATATAACTCAGAAGTCTTCCAGTCATCATCTATTCTAAACCCACTTCCACATTGTTAGGTGCCTGTGACAGTAGCACCAGCTTTAGTACCCCAGTCAGTATTAGTCTACATGCACTACCACAACCACAGCACCACACAGCAATGAATTAATACAATAGAAATGTATTTTCTCACAGTTCTGAAGATGACAAGTCCAAGACCAAGATGACTGGTTTCCACGTAGGTCTCTCTTCCTGGCCAGTAGACAGTTGCCATCTTGCTGCCTTCTCACATGGCCTTTCCTCTATGCAAGTATGAGCAGAAAGAGAGCTGGATATAAAATTCTAGGCTGACAAGATTTTCCTTCAACACTTTGAATGTATTAACCCATGGCCTTCAGGAGAAACACTCTTCACATGGTTGGTCCCTAAGTGTCTAATTTAGTCATTTCTTCCATGAGTCAAAGAGAGAGAAGCACCACCACGCCAACAGAGTCCCCATGTCATGAAACGCCTCAAGACTAACCCAGCCCACATCATGGACACCAAGGTGGACATCAGGCACAAATAAGAGGTTCTCAGGATGCCCACCCCAGAACCGCCCATGCAAATTGGCCTCAAAGGCAGAGAATTACTGCTGGGCTGCCATTTGGCCCCTGTCCCAAGGAGAGTTGAGAAATCTGAAAGATCTCTTGGAGACATTTGAAGAAAGCCATCTTCCTCTCAGCTCCACAGACGTTATAATGTACTTTATTGTGTCTTATGAACAGAACATCTTCTTAGACTATCACAGGGTCAGTTAAAGTGGAAGATCAGCTTGAGACCGGTCATTCTGAATGAAAAGAAAAAGGTCGGGAAGAGTATGTGTGGAGACACGGTAAGGTCTTCAGGAGCCCAAACGTATTACAAACTGTTCCATTTGAAATAAAAAGTCCACTAAAGCATCCCATAGGTTTTCACTTCTAAAAAGGGAAATATTCATCCCTAAAGCCCACCTAAAAGCATGTTTCCTGACACCAGTAAGTGGGGAGATGACTGTGATATAAACCCAGCCATGACTGGTCCATTTCCTGCTCTGACCTCACAGGCAGCCATTGTTACATTACGTGCAAAAAAATGTATATAAGGGCCCAGATGGCCCCCCAATTTTTGTCCATAAGGCCCAGAAAGCTCTTTGGTAGTGACCTGTTGGCGGACTCCCAGGTAACTTGCTTTCTCAGCGTATTCTTGATACTCGGTTGGTTTGATTTCCCCCTCCCCTCCACTTGCTTACTACTTTTTTTTCCCTTTGTGATTTTTCTTTTCCTTTTTTTCTCTTGATTTCTTTATTCTCATTAACCCACTTATTTGTTCATTTGGTTTCTTTGATGTTTTGTTTGTTTTAGGTTTTTGTGTTTTTTGAGCTAGCATAGAGAGCCTTCTTATATCCTTCCCCCACCCCCGATTTGTTTTGATTGGTATAGCCAGTAGTGCTAGCTAGCGTTGCTGGTGCGCACTGCTAGTTAGAGTAGTCAGGTGTTGACTGGGCAGCGAGACCTCATTGCCATGTCTGCCCAGGAGATGCCCCTCGGGAATCAGTTCGCATTTCTGGAGACCCTTGGCCAGGGCAGCTTTGCCAAGGTGAAGCTGGCCTGGCACTTTCCAACGTGCACGGAAGTGGCAGTGAAGATTATGGAGAAAGAAGACTCCGAGAGCACCGCCTTCACTCTGCAGACCCTCTACAATGAGGCTGCCATCATGATGAGTTTACAACATCCGAACGTCCTGCGGATGGTGGAGATGGTGGACACCGACCACGCGCTGTACCTGGTCATGGAGTATGCCCGTGGGGGGTCTCTCCAGGACCACCTCACACTTAATGGTCCCCTGGGGGAGGAGGAGGCCCGGGGAATCTTCCTACAGGTGGCGGAGGCGCTGCAGTACTGCCACAGGCAGGGAGTGGCGCACAGAGACCTGAAGCCGGCCAACATCCTGGGGAACGGTAGGGGCGCTGTCAAGTTGGCTGACTTCGGCCTCAGCGTAAGGTTCTCCACTGGCCTCGATATGGAAGTCCTGTGCGGCACGCCCGCTTTCTTGGCCCCAGAACTATTCCTGCAGGAGGACTCTGACGACCGCGCGGTGGATATCTGGGCCCCCGCCCTGGATATCTGGGCCTTCGGCGTCAGTCTCTACAACGCGCTCACCGACCTCTACCCTTTTGGTGGGGAAACACTGAAGGAGCTCAGGCAGCAGATCCTGGCGTGCCAGTTTGCAATCCCGTCTTACCTGTCAGCTCAGGTAAGAGATCTGCTCGCCAACATCCTAAAACAGGACCCCAGACACAGGCTCACTCTGCAGCAAATAATACAACACCCCTGGTTTGACACGGGCCAC